CTAAAAAGAATTTTTTTCATTGAAAACTCTGTCTGCTTTCCAGCAGAAAATTAGGTTTTCCTCGTGTTTTTGTATTGACTATTATTTTATATTGTTTTCATTTAAATAGGTTTTAAAAAATCATTTTAAAAAGGGCACATTTTTTCTTCTCTTTTTTTTTTTTAATGTATTTGGTACAGGGTCTCACTACACAGCTCAGACTCATAGTGATCCTCCTGTTTTCAGCCTCCCCAACACTGGGATTACAGGCGTGCAACACCACGCCTGTTCTCGGCAGCCAGCTCAGCGTGCCTGGGGCTGGGGCCTGCATGGCCTGTGGTGCCAGGGATCCAACCTGGGTCCCTCTGCTTGCCTAAGCAGGTGCTTAATCCGCTTAGCTATCTTGCCGGCCCAAGGGGCACTTTTAATAGCCTCTTCAGATAACTGTGGATATTCTTTATTGATACTGTGCCATTGGCAACAAAGTCTGCCAGTGATTTTCTTTGAAGTGACAAGCTCATTGTCGGTCAGCCAGGTATGGTACACATACCAATAATCCTAGCACTCAGGAGGCTGAGACAGGAGGATCCTCACCAGTACAAAGCCAGCCTGGGCTACATACTGAGACCTTGCCTCAAAAAGCCAAAAAGAAAATGTCTACCAAACATCCAAGTTTTGGTTAATCATTGCTACATTTCAAGTAAAAATATAGCGTTTCTCTACCACAGCTAGATGGGCCTACAGCTGGGCTGTGCAGGTGCTGTGCCTTCAGTTCATGCAGCAGATGTCCTGTATTAGACATCTCCCCTGTGATCACACAGAATGTTAGAGAGACGTGTCGTCAGTGCCGTACAGCTGGGCTCTCCTTCCTTATCCGGGACCTTTTCTGTATGCATCTAAGATGCTGCAGATCCCACCCGGGCCCCCCCATCCTTGGTACACTGTACCTCTGAACTGTACCCAGTTCTCAGGGACAGTTTAAAATTAAGAAACTCTTTTTGAGAGGGTTTTGCAGTAAAGAGTATGTTCCATACAATTCAGTGTGGTTGCCTCTATCCAGGGATCGGCAGTTTTACCAGCATTGCTTTTGCCAAGCAAATTATGTCGTATAATTAAAATAACTTTATCCCTAAGACTTCTTGAAAGGATATTGGGAAACCCTTGGGATTCGTGCTCATGTTTTGAGAACTCCTTACTTTGGAAAGTCCACAAAATTTTTGTTTTATAATACAGAAGTAGCCAAGGCCCAGCCAGTATCTTGGAGTTCTGAAGTAATTTTAAAGTTGGACTTGCTGAATAAATAGTAGGATCTTGAAGCCAGGCATCTCTGTAACTTATGAGGATATATAACTAATAGCTTATTCATATAAATAATTTTCTTTATTTTAATCCTCTTTCATCTTTATCTGGTTTAAGTAACCTTCAATAATTTCAGCCAGAAGGTTGCTTTGACATATATATTTGGCTTTTGAAAATCATTTTGGGGAGAATTGTAATTATTTCTTGAGCATCTGCTTACATTTATCTTTATCCAAAACTGATTCCCAAACTTTGAATTGTTAAAATGTACTTAAAATATTTAGCAGATATTCTACTTATGGTAAATAGTGAATAGCTTTGAGTCAGTCTGTCCATTTTGCCTTTCCCTTAATATAAAATCATCATTATTATAAATTTAAGATAAATACTTCACAAAAATTGTTAAACATAGAAAAGAGGCAGTATTGCCTGAAATCCCAAATCATCCAGTCACTACTACAGAAGTGTGTTTCTTTCTAGTAGTTTTGTCAGATGTTTTTGGATCTGTACATGTGCTTAATATCTAGCTAGCTTCTTTCCAAATTGTTCAGATGAATTTACCATTTAAGTAATAATGATAGGTTTAATAATTTTTACTCTGTTCTTTCAGGTAAATTGTTGCCTGGCTGTACCTAGAATTCTCCTGTTTTCCACATATACCTTTAAGTTAATAGCTATTGTTATTGTATGGATTCCGTTGTTGGGATAATCAGGGTGGGTCAAAGAATGCGAATCGGGTGTTTGATGCCACGTTATGCCGAGAGCTCTTGCCCGTCTGTATAGTGGCATTCAAGGCCAACTTCACGGTCTCATGATCAGCATCAAGTGCCATGGTTGCCTCCTACATTGTTGTGATTTTGCTGATCTACATAAGCACTCATTTTAAAGCTATTAAGAATAAATTTTAATCTCATATTAATAATGACAACTTGCCTGTTTTTCTCTCTCTCTCTTTCCTTCCCCTCTCCTCCTAGCGTTTTCCACGTGCTCGTTCTTAATGTGATTATCGTGGGAGCTGGTGTGGTCATGGCCTGCTTCTACCCAAACATAGGCGGCATCATAAGGTACCTCATCCCCTTTGTACGCTGATCTTTAGCTTCGTGCTTTTTGTGTTGCTGCTGCTGTTGTCACTGTTTTAATTATTTGAACTTCTGTCTTTTAAACTGGTAATATTAAATGTAGTTCCCTAATATCAACTGAGATGTTTATTAAATTCCATTTCTGTTTATTCTGGTGGAGAACTGACTCTGGAAAGCCTCCTTATCCCTTAGTCTAAGTCGCTTCTATCTCTCCTCCTCTCTTTCTCTCTCTTCCCCTCTCCCTCTCCTTCTCCCTCTCTTTCCCTTTTCCTCTCTTCCTGCCCTGTCCTTTCATCCCTCTTCCTCTCTCTGTCTCTGTCTCTCTCTCTCTATCATCTATATCTATCTATCATCTATCTATCATATCTACCTATGTATCTATGTATCTGTCTATCTATTTGGACTTCCATTGTGTTTAGAATGTCCTTTTTATGTTAAGGCTATCTCCTATCTTCCTTAATGCATTTCCATTTAAAAACATATTTTAATGTCAATTGAAGTAAGAATGTAAGAGTTGAGGTCTCAGGTGGCTCTCCCATTAATGTCCTTCCCCTTAAAAAGCTATGAGTAGGCATAAAGTTGTGACCTCAGAATCTCATGAACACTGGGAATGACTTGATTTCTCTTCTTTAAAATAGCCCAGCTGAGTCATCCTTACCTAAAAAAGTAAGGAGAAAGTAGAGAGGAGATTAGTATCTGATGCTTACTGAATATAGAGACTTAGGAGTTCCTACTAAGCTATTTCTCCAGAAAACTGGGAAAGGGAGAAGAAAGTGCCCGTGTCTGTCACAGTCTCACATTGAGTTTTGTTGTTATCTTTGATAATTACCCCGAATGCTGTCCCAGCAGCTGTCAGTGCTTACCGTTAAGCAGATGCTTGTCTCTCTCACAAACTCAGAATATGTAATTCACTTAGTTTGTTAAGATCCAAGATAGCAGCCCCACCTCCGGATGTTTCTGAGCAAGTGGCCACTGTCACTGAAACTCAGAGAACTGAGGAGATGTGAAGCGTGAATAAAAACTCTGGGAATGCTTCCCTGGCAAGCACAAGGGCTTGAGTTCAATCCCCGGTTCTGCCAAAAAAAAAAGAAAAAAAGAAAAAAAACTCTGGGAAGCAGATGCTATGAAGATGAACAGGAAATAATATTTCATATTTACAGATGTATAAATTTTAAACCCAAATATCAGCAACAAATAACCAAAGTAATGTTGCAATGTGAGTCTGCGAATGATTTCAATTGTACTAGATTTGCCCTTATTATCAACTTGAACATGCGAGCTGACTATTAACCCTGACGCTTTGTCTCTACAGATACTCAGGAGCAGCATGCGGTCTGGCCTTCGTGTTCATATACCCGTCTCTCATCTACATAATTTCCCTCCACCAGGAAGAGCGTCTCACATGGCCTAAGTTAATCTTGCATGTTTTCATCATCATTTTGGGCCTGGCCAACCTAATTGCTCAGTTTTTTATGTGAAAACTGTTGTCTCAAGATCTTTCATGGCATTTGGAGCCTTGAAAATACTGCTACATAAACTCAGTTGTAAATCCTGACATTGCTGTAATGCTAAATGTTTTCTAAGCTCATCGGAAAGCAGAGGAAATAGTTGGCCATTGACACGGACCTTTTTCTACGGTGGGCAGAAGGGCAACAAGAGTGATCTGCCTTTTGTACCGTCACGCCCTTCTTTGTTCCCATTTGTCTTCTCTGAGCAGAAATGTGGGAAAAATCATAATGGGCTTTGCTTTTAGAAACAAGGTAGGTGGATTGATTTTGGCTGCATCAAGGATTCTCACTGAGCTGTAGCGCAGTGGCACAGCGCCTGCCTAGCAAGAGCAAGAGCCTGAGTTCAATACGTGGTACCAAAAAAGTAAGTAAAATAAGGATTCTCAGGGTGTCTTGCAGCTTTTTGCTAGATTGGATTTCTGTTCTATGTTTCATGTACTTCTCTGTTTTTACTTACCTAGTTTGTCTAAATCTTTATTCTTGGGACAATAAGCCAGATACCTCACTTTTAGTTTCCAAGACATCAGTGTTAAGAGAATGAGTTCCTAACAGGTCTTTAATCTGATTGAAGTACAAAATTTAAAAATATTGTGGGTTTTATGGCCAGAAATGTATGCAAAATAAACGAAGTAAGAGAGTTTGTTGCTGTCTGACTCCTCATTTACTTCTAGTCTGTTTCTACTAATTTAGGTTAAAATTCTAGTTCCCCACCCCAGAGTTTGCTTAGGAACAAGAATGACTGTCCCCGTAGAGCCAGGAGACAGACACCCTCGCTTCTGGATCGTTGGGACAGCGTAGGCTGTCAGAGAGGGACAGCAGAGGAGGCACAGGCAGAGGGAGCCAGTTAAGGTCATGGAGGGACAAAAGCAGTGCAGGAGGGGCCAGCAAGGGTGAGCTGCCGTTTGTCGAGTCCCCCAGGTGTGAAAGTGGTCCGTTTGCCAGAGGGAAGACTCATTTGGTTTGTATATGGTCTCTGTAGATCTTTGCTTCTATACTAAGGGCAGGTCGATCTCCATCAGAAAGACTTAGATGGCGGCAGGGAATAAGAGAATCTGAAGTCTTGGAATTAAGACTCTGCTGCTCTTTCTCCCAAACTCAAAGCTAAGCCAGAGCCCAAATACTTGTGACATAACCTCTGTATTCCGCATCGGGCTACCAGCACCAACATGCAAAGTTCTCTAATTTGGGGCTAAAATTAAAACATGTTATATTGATACAGATTCCATATCCTAGGGCAGTGGATAGATTTGAATAATTTCCTTTCTTTGAAAAAGATGAGTAAAATGGTTTCTATATATCTAGTAAGGAGAGTGAGATTTAAATTTGGGCCTACTGCCTTTCAGTTTTGTTGCTGGCTTTTGTTGCTGCTGTTGATGGTGGTGGTGGTGGTGGTGGTGGTGGTGGTGGTGGTGGTGTGTATGTGTTTCTTTGTTTGAGACACGGTCTTGCTATATAGTCCAGGCTGGCCTTGAACTACCAATGTATCTCAGGCTGGCCTCAAATTCACAGGGATCCTCCTGCCTCAGCCTCCAGTGTGCTAGGATTATAGGCGTATGTTACCATGCCTGGCTGGGCCTTAGTGGCTTTCACCAAAGCTTTCCGTCCTGCTCCTAGACCTATAGGTCTATATTAATGATGGGTTATAATAATTTCTATTTATTTGTCAGGGAGTGGGAATCAAACTCAGGACCTCATGCTTGCCAGGCAGGCACAGTGCCACTGAGCTATATTCCCAGCCCCTGGGCGATAGTTCCTAAAGCTTTTCTTTTTTTATGTTTCATTCTTAAAATTGTATATTAGTATATGATTATTTATTGTGAGGAGTTTGTAAGTAAACTTTTCTTTCCTCATCCCCTCCCCTCTGTCCCTCCTGCATCTTCTAACTGTTATTCCCTTCCCATCCGCAAAAGCTCTGTCCATTTCTCCTTTATTGTTCTTTATCCCTTTTCCCTCCCTTCCTCCTTCCCTTCCTTCCTTCCTTTCTTATATTCTGTGTTTCTCTTAGGAGAAGCCCCGTGATATTGAAACCTGTCTCTGGTCTGTTTCACACAGCACTAGGGTCTCGCGTGCCTCCGTTTTCCTCCAGGCGGCTCCAGTTTATCTTTATGGCAGGGTGCTGTATGATTTTCTTCATAGAGTCACCTATTGATGAGTAGATAGGCTGTCTCCAGGACTGAGCTGTCACAGATTGTGCTGCTGTGACCACGGCTGTGTGGGATCACTGCAGCGTGACTTGTAAGTTTGGGGAAGGTAGCTGAGTCAGATGGAATTTCTATTTTTAGTTTTTTGAGGAATCTCTGTACTGATTTCCTTCACAGTTGTACTAGCTTACATTCCCACCAATAATATAAAACAGTTCCTTCCCCACCACTGAAGCCTTTCCAGAATTTGTTATTGGTTGATGTCTTGGTGATAGCCATTCTTTCTGCAATTCCTTTTTTTTTTGGTGGTACCAGGGATTGAACTCAGGGCCTTGTGCTTGCTAGGCAAGTGCTTATTCTACTGAGCTATCTCCCTGACCCTTAGCCATTCTTTCTGGAATGAGACAGAATCTAGCAGAAACTGCTGGTAGAAATTAATTGAATAGATGAATGAATGAATGAATGAATGAATGAATGCATAAATGAAAGAAGGAAGAAGGGAGGGGAGAGAGAAACAAACAAAAAGAGAGGTTAATTGGAAAATTCTGTATTGGATGTCTCCGTCCTTGTGCTAACCTCCCTCAGGATGGGAGGTGTTCCTGTGCTTGAGGGTCTCTGGAACTTTATAACTTCAGAGTCCTGTTCCTTTAAGACACGTAGAAGTCACAGGTAGAGTCTTTGAGAGATCTTCTCAGCTTGCTGGGGAGATAGCTCCGCACACAGTGCCTGCCCAGCAAGCGAAAGGTCCTGAGTTTGATTCCTGATACCAAAAAAAAAAGAATGGAGATTGTCTAAGGTTAATTCTTATTTTTTGTTTTCATTTTTTTAGTTTAGTTGGGTTGAGTTTTGTTGCTGCTATTGTTGTTTTCGCTGTTTAGAGACAGTTTTCATTGGTGAATTGAGTGCTTCAATACATGCGAAAAGTATGAAGTGTTTTTGCTCATTCAGCAAAGGGAATATGAAAATGAATGTGTTATTTTCTAAACTAAAAACAGTGTGAATCTCTGATTTTGTTTTGTTTTAAAAACTTGATGTAGAACTTCTAAAATCCTACTAGACATATGCTGTTAGACATTTGCCTTCTGAAGTTTCCTTTTGTGAGATTAATTCCTTTGGCTTGTCATTTGGCCAGTTCAGAGAAAAGTGTGTGTGTGTGTGTTCTGAGGAAATAGGAACTAATCTGGATCACATGACAATTTTTTTAGACCTTTTTTGTCTGCCATTATCTCTTTGAATTTTATAATTAAATTTCTTGTACATTTTGTTCCAATGTGATGAACTTTAGTTGCTTTAAATTTAGCTTAACACACAACTGAGGACATTATAAAATTTGAAATGGGTGAAAACAAGCCAGGTCCTCCTTGGGAAGCCTGTGGATCAATACATGGCAACCATTGCTAAGCGGACGGACGGACGGACGGACGGACGGACGGACGGGACAAAGAAAGTGTAGCAAAACCTGACAGCTAGCCATCATCCCAAATCAGTTACATTGGTGCACTCAAAAAATACATCGGATTACAGAATAAATGTGTCCACAAAAGGAACTGTGTTAAAGAGAAAAACGTTATTTACATTAAGTGTATTTTGCAAGCACCGTGCAGCCGCTAACTGTAGTAGCGGAGGAGTTTTCTCTTTCTACTTGGTGCTCATTAGGAGACATTTTCGTTTTCATGTATCTGTGTCTCTAAATGACTGAATTAACCTCAGTGCTCATTGCTTTGGAGCAGAGACGCCTAAGACGCCATTCATTACGAAAGTAGCTTTCAGCCTGGTAGAGAAGCAACGCGCACAGTTCACAGCATGACACTGCATGCTGAGGACTGGTAGAGAAACAGATCCCTTTCCATTGCAGTCCTAAAAGAGACTTGGGAAAGGACTAGTGACCTAGTCCAGGCGTGGTGCTGCTAAACCGTAAAGCAGCAAGGGCCCTTTTTTCAGGCTATGCCTAATAACTGTCCAAAATTCAAATATTTCAGCAGAATAAGCACCTGCTTAGGCGAGTGCAGGGACCAGAGTTCAGTCCCTAGCACCATATGCCCCACCGGGCCCACCCCCTGGGCATGCTGAGCCAGTGACCTAGTCCAGGCGTGGTGGTGCATGCCTGTAATCCCAGTGCTGGGAAGGCTGAAAACAGGAGGATCACTATGAGTCTTGGCTGCATAGTGAGACCTTGTACTAAATACATAAATAATAAAATATTTTATAGCTCAGTGGAATGAGTGCCTGCTTGGCAAGCACAAGATCCTGAGTTTAATCCCCAGTATAAATCAATCAATCAATCTACAAAATTCAAATATTTGGTATATTGGCCAGTAGGTGGAATTATGCATGTTTGGCTGTGTGTGTGTGTGTGTGTGTGTGTGTGTGTGTGTGTGTGCCAGGAATTGTGCTTTTATTTGTTGTAGGAGAGAGTGCTGAGCCACCTCCCACCTTTTGCTTTTCTTTTATTTGACAGGATCTTGCTGTATAGTCCATGCTGGCCATGAATTCACTGTGTAGCCCAGGATGGCCTCAAACTCATGGCCATCCTCCTACCTCAGCCTCCCAAGAGCTGGGATTACAACAGGGATGCGCCACCACATTCAATTTGGTTCCTCTTTTTTTTCTTCTTCTTCTTTTTTTTTGATAAAGAAATTTGATAAATTGTAAGCCTTCTCCCACCTCACTTTCCCAAATAACTAGTACTTGAGTCACACAGTACTGTACTTGCCAAGAGATGTGCTTATAACCGCTGCTGCTGCTGGATTGAATCCAGGGGAGCACTCTATCACATCATTCTATCCAGCCCTTTACTTTGTTTTTTTGAGACAAGTTCTTCCTAAACTGCCCAGATGGGTCTCAAACATGTCATAAGCCTCCTTAGTAGCTAGCTTACAGACCTGTACCAGCAGCATACCTAGTTA